CAGGCTCACAGAGTTTGTTGGAGAGACCCACAGGGTCCTGGAGGGTGCACAGGCCCACATGCCCGGGAACCAGCACCAGAAAGGCTCAATTTACTTGTGGGAAGCAGCAGAGAGGACCAAAATCTGAGAGAGAGCAGAATGCCATTGTCCCTCTCTGACGCTGCCCCCACATACAGTGTCACAGCCCAGTGACTTGGGTCACCCCACCCAACACTCCGCTAGTGAACACCTAACGCTCTGCTCCCCATACCTAACAGGCACAAACAGACTAAAACATTACGGCTTAAGAAGAACAGCTCAAAGCCCCAGAGCCAATACTTCTAAGTGACCAAGAGATAGCCAACCTATCAGATGCATAGTTCAAAACACTGCTGATCAGGATGCTCACAGAACTGGTTGATTTTAGTTACAAATTAGAGGAGCAAATGAAGGCTAAACTAAGTGAAATGAAGGGAAATGCATAGGAAACCAATAGTGATGGGAAGGAAACTGGGACTCAAATCAATGGAGTGGACCAGAAGGAAGGAAAAAAAATGACCAAATAGAAAAGAATGAAGAAACAAGAATTCAAAAAAAATGCCCTGGCTGGTGTAGCTCAGTGGATTGGGCGCAGGCCTGCGAACGAGAGGATTATGGATTGCTTCCCAGTCGGGGCACATACCTGGGCTGTAGGCCAGTTCCCAGCAGGGAATGCACTAGAGGCAACCATACATTGATGTTTCTCTCCCACTCTCTTTCTCCTCTAAAAAAAAATAAGTACATAAAATCTTAAAAAAAAAAAAAGTTAACAAATGTGTTTCTAAAAATAAAATAAATAAAAAAAAAAGAATTCAAAAAATGAGGAGAGGCTTAGGAACCTCCAGGAAATCTTTAAACGTTCCAACATCTGAATTATAGGGGTACCAGAAGGGGAAGAGGAACAGCCACAAGAGGAAAACTTATTTGAACAAATAATAAAGGAGAACTTCCCCAATCTGGCAAAGGAAATAGACTTCCAGGAAGTCTAGGAAGCTCAGAGAGTCCCAAAGAAGTTGGACCCAAGAAGGAACACACCAAGGCACATCATAATTCCATTAGCCAAGATTAAAATGAAGGAGAGAATCCTAGAAGCAGCAAGAGATAAGGGGAGCCCTCATTATATGAAATGTTAAAGAGACTTATCTAAGAAAAAGAAGATAAAAAAAGATGAACAGTGAAAGGACAGCAAACTCACAGTTATTAACAACCACACCTAAAACAAAAGCAAACTAAGAGGACAGCTAGATCAGGAGCAGAACCATAGAAATGAAGATCTCATGCAGGGTTAGCAACAGGTGAGTGGGAGAAGGAGAAGGGGGGAGAAGGTACAGAGAATAAGTAGCATAGACGGTAGATAGAAAATAGATAGGGGGGAGGGCAAGAATAGTATGGGAAATATAGAATCTAAAGAACTTGAGACACGTGGACATAAACTAAAGGGGGGGAATGGTGGGGGAGGGGTTATGCAGGGTGGAGGGGAATGAAGGGGGGAATGGACAACTGTAATGGCAAATCAATAAAATATATTTTAAAAAGAAAAGAAGAGTGCCCTCTGACACAATGAATGGAGAATGCTGAACCCAAAGAACTCAAGGAGGGCAACTCAGCTAGATCAGCCCCATCCCAGGACCTTGCTAAGGGGGCAACTCCAAGGCCCCAGGGATCCCTCTGAAAGACTCTGGAGTGGGGCTGACAACAGATGGACTGACTGAGCAGCTGGATACCAAGACACCCCCAATTCTGAAGTTTTACTCTCTGTGCAGCCATCCTCTTCTCCTGTCTTCTCTCACACCGTCATCCTCAAATCAGGTTGGCTCTAGCCTCAGATACGTCTAGAAGGATCTGCATCCCTCACGCGACCCCATCTTCCACTATTTGCTCCCACTGTCCCAGCACCTTCTTACAGCTACTTGAACGTGCCGAGCACAGGCCGTTCTCTCCTCCAGCAGCACTCTCCCTCAGCTGCCTCTGCACCAGCTGCTCGGGCGCCTCCTTCCTTGACCGCTCAGCATCTCCCTCACTCTGCTTTATTTTTCTCCAAAGCACTTCTCACCTAACATGTTATGTATTTATTTACTGCTCATCTCCCTCACTGAAATGTCAGCTCCTCAGGGACAAGGGTTTGCCTTTTTCATTCATTGCAGTATCCCCAGAGCCCGGAACAGTGCCCAGAACCCAGTGGATAATCAATATCTGTTGAAAAAGTGAGTGGAGCAACTGAACTCTGGATGAGGACATGCAACAGAGGGGTAGGAAGATGGAATGATTATCACGATTAAGCGTGGTAGAGAACACTGTTGGATGGATGGCCTCATTTTTCCCCCAGAAAGGGGTACATGAATGTGCATGGAATCATTACCCATCAAAATCTCTGAGCACATCCAACCCAGGAGTGTCCACCGTGCCATGAGGGCAGATTTTGCCACTTACACTCACTAATGATATACACGGTGGATGGCATGTCAGAGGTGCTCAATAAATGTTTGTTGACTGAATAAGAGAGAGCAGGCTCAGCATCAGATAAAGAGGAAACTAAAGGAACAACAGTGAAGCGCTGACATAGAAAAGTGTGGGTAGCCAAGGCCAAGGAGCAAGGCTGAGCCCTGCTGTGGAATGCCTTGAATGCTGGAGCTAAAGCCTTTGGTCTGAGGCTGGGTGATGGTTGGATGAACCCCTGAGGTAAATTTGCACAGGCAAGTGATTCAATTGGAACAGAGTTCAGGTATGTATGTATGTTTAGTCAGACAAAGATTTCAGCACCCATTAGACCAGGCTGTAGGCTAGATCCTGGGAATATGGCCCATCTAGTTCTCTTAGTTCTGTGGGAGAGGACAGACAAGAAATGTGATGACAAAAATAAACCAAGTGGCCCTGGCCAGGTAGCTCAGTTGGTTATGGCATCATCCTGATACCCCAAGGTTGTGGGTTTGATCTCCAGTCAGGGCTCATACAAGCAACAACCAATGTGAAGGAACAATGGAATTAGGAATGAGGCAAAGGATGTATCATGATTTTTTAAAATTTTACTAAGATTATTATCTTAAACTTGAAAATGTTTGAAATACTTTTATCTCCCAAGTCCAATAAATATCATACTCTGATAAGTACAAATAGCAAGTTAAAAAAAAAAGAAGCAACCAATGAATGCATAAACAAGTGGAATAACAACTTGATGTTTCTCCCTCTTTCTCTCAAATCAATAAATAAAACTTTAAAAAATAAACAAGGTACTGCCAGAAAATTTAGGATATGAAAGACACCAAAGGAGAGGACGACCTCTCTGAGGTGACATGTGAGCTGAATCTTCACAGCTAAGGGGCCAGCCACGGGAAAAGCTGAAGGATGCACCAGGCAAAGGGAAGAGCCAGGAGTTCAGTGTGACTGAGCAATGCCAGAGTGGTGAGAGATCAGGATGGAGCCAGGTCAGGCAGGAGCTGGATTATTATATAAGCCCTTCCTTACATGGCAAGGGGTTTGTGATCATTTTTCTAAGTCCCGTGAGAAACATAAAAAAAATTGGGTAGAAAAACAAAAAGTTGGGGACTTAGGGGACAGTGGGTATGGATAAGATGAAAACTAGGGAAGGTCTGAAAGTGAACACTTTCAATTCTCATCCCTAAACTGAGAGAAAGATCTTTGAACCAGGAAAAGATCAAGATCCACGCCTTGTTGGAAAATGGGGCTGCCTCTCCCAGAGAACATGCAGCACCTAGAAATCCTCAAGGGCAAGGAAGGAGTCTTATTTATCTGCACAGCCTCATTATACCCAAAAGGCTTGAATTTACTTGCTAAATGACAAAGTAAATTAGAGACTCAGAGAAAGAAAATTAAAAACAAGAGACTTACTGACTGACAAAGTGGAGAGGGCAGAAGACTTTTATCCATAGCACAATTAAGTATTAATCAACATAAACGGTACTCATTAGCACCTAATTAAGTATTGTGGCTTTATGACCCAGGAAAGAAAGAAGAAATCTTCAAAGCAAGATTGGGTGGAAGGAAAAAGCTTAGCATTTTAGACTAAGCTGTTTCCCTAACTTGATGTATGACCTTGGCTTGGTCATTTTCTCTGGGCTTCAGATTGCCGGAATTAAATTGAGGAAGCTGGACTATTCAGCCAAGAATTTCTTAGGTGCTTTCTCTGGGACACAGAAAGTTCTTCAAGAATATCTGCTGAATGAATTAAGACCAACTACTTTTAACTTCTCATTTTACAAGTTTGGAAACGGAGGCCTGGAAGTTTCTGAACTGAGCCCAATTTGGGGGGGGGGGGGCGGTGTCTTCCCAAAGAGGGCTACCTGGAATCCACTGGGCACCAGATTGGATAGTGCAGTTCTGGAATCAGACTGCTAGGGCTCAAACCCCAGCTCCACGACTTACCTGATCGTGTGGCTTTAGCCAACTCACTCTGAGTCTTAAGCGGGGCTTGACTTACAAGGTCTCTGCGAGATCAATGAGAAGCCCTGTAAAGCTCCTTGAAGAGTGCCTGATAGAGGCAGCTGGGGCTCAATAAATGTTCTTTTTGTTGGTACTTCTACCGCTCTAGCACAAAGCCTAACCAGAGTGGCAACCTTTCAGGAGTTACAGGGCGCGTGCAAATCGTAACACGTGGTGTGCGGGAAAAGCGACGGTAATAATTAGAGTCAATAAATTCCAAATTGCGAGCCAGAGGAAACGTGCTCAGTGCTACCTTTACCGGCTCCGGTCTAGTTTATAAACTTTACCAGGAGCTGGTTCCTCTGAGGCTCGGGTTCGAGCCTCACCATGACCTTAGACCAGCCTCCTCTCTCTCAGTCTGTTTTCTCATCTGCAAAACGGGGCTGGCAACCCTGCCGCCCAGCCGGCTCCAAAGGCCCCAAGGAAGGTATGCCGGGCCGCCTCGGGTTGCCCACACTTGCACTGGGGCCCCCGACTGCCCGAGTCTGCAGGGGCAGCAGAGACCCACTAGAGGCCCGCGTAGGCCGGTCTCCATAGCAGCTCACCTCCCCTACCTTCCTGCCGGCAGTAGGACATGGCCGCAGCCCAGGGCTCAGACTTCGCAGTGGTAGCAGGGCAGCGGCGGCGGCTCCACGCCGTGACCTCTCCTCTGGCAGGGCGGAAGGCTCCGAGGCCCGCGCGAACCCGCCCCCTCCAGGCCTGTCCGCCGCGCGCCTGCCTCAGCGCCTTCCCACCTCCAGCCGGGGGAACCCCCTCAGCAGAGAACTACATTTCCCAACAGGCTGCGCTCCGCCCGGCCACACATCTGGCAGTCTGCAGAAAGACTACACTTCCCAGAAGGTCCTGCAATGCGCAGGCGCATCAGTTACATACGCCACATCTTGCAAATTCGTGGGGGAAGCACTTAAGCGCGTACTACGTTTTCCAGAAGACCTTGCGGCGCGGTTGAGTACGGTGGCTGGAGACCTCGGGGAGTTAACCTTGCAGCACGTCGTCGCTTGTGGTTCTGGGCATCGCGCGGGTTTTCGCAACTCAGGCAGACAAGAGGCCCCTGCACTCCGCTCTCTGGCCATAAACTCCTTTCGTCTCTGAGCAGAGCGAGACGGGCCGGCCAGCGGGCTCTCACGATGGCCGCGAATGTGAGTGTCTCCCAGCCTGGTGGACCACACCCAGTCTGCCCCAGGTCTCGGGGCCTCCTTTTCCCCTCGGGGCGTCCTAGGTCCATTTTGCTTGTCTCGTCGGTGCGGCTGCCCCCCTGCTTCCCTCTGCATGCTGTATCTATGCCTTCTAGCAGCTAATCTGTTAATTTGTTTTAGCCTGTCCAGACTCCTTTTGTCCGTATTTCTTGGTCCACCTCTTCCTCGGGTCGCTAATTTGTGAAGAGGGAAACTCCGGAGGTGTTGCTTCGGACATTGGAATCTACTTGTGCTTGGCACCTCTCCGCAGCCCTTCCGTTCATTCCCAGTTACCGCGTAGGCCCTTGGAGTTTTCAAATTTGCGGAGCTGGATGTAACCTCAGAGAGGGGGCCAGTCCGCGGGAATTGGGGGAAGCCGATACCACCCAGGCGGAGCTGTCCAGCAGGGGACAGATAGGGCTTTCCGGGCAGTCAGTGAACTCCCCGCCCTAGGTGGGTATGCAAGGGGCTCAGGTTTGTTTGGGAGCGGAAGAGTTAGTAGCATTTACCTACTGCTGGACTTCTTGTCCTCCTAGTGTGGTTTCGGTTAGATCCTGAGTGAAGGTGATTTCTGTCAAAAGACTGCTGGCCTCTTGTCCCTGCAGCCAACCTTTCTCAAGTATCTTTCAACTTAAGCCCAACATTCATTTAGCAAACGAGTGCCCCCTTCCACCAGGGAGCTGTATATGGGAGAAGCTAGTGACTCACCACTCCCCTTCTCTATTGAAAGTGCTTCTGGAGCCAGCTGGGGAGCCCTGCCAGCCCAGACACTCCCTCCCTCCCTCCCTCCTTCTTTGGTGGAGTGCCCTACCCACTCTCTCCTGTCTTGTTAAACCCTCTTTCCAGGCCCCTTCTCTCTTCCAAGGGTCCCCTCCACCTCCCACACCCTTTGGGAGGCAGGGTTTATGTCATCCACAGCCCCAGTGTACTCTGCCCAGGTTAGAGTTGTGTTGGAAAGCCTTGAATGCTGCACCTAGAAAAGCCTCAGAGGTGGTCCATGAGACCCAGGGTCTGCCAGGGGAAAGGGTAGTCAGGAGAGACTGGCTTGCTCCCACAGGTGAACTCCTGTCTGCCCTCCACACCACCACCCTGTTTTACAGATGGGGAATTTCCCCAGCAGAGGAAGGCACTTGCACAGGTCTTGTAGCCGAGTTGGCAGGTTACGTTGTCGTGGGAGTCAGGCAGACCTGGAGGCAAATCCACTTTCCTCCTCTCTGTAGTTGTGTGGCTGTAATCTCTAGAGGGATGGGAAATTTAAGAAAGGTGTGCTTTCAATAGTGCCTGCTGTATAGTGGGTACTTAGTATGTGAAAAAAATATTCACAATCTAACATGGATGGTCCATGTAGTGGGCAGAGACCATCTTGGGTATGTTGGGACCTGACCTTTGCTGAGGAATGCAGTTGAATTTGGGTATCCTCTGTTGCCAAGTCTTTGTTGATTCATCTAGTGGCTGGGTATGTGTCTAGGGGAGGAGCCGCCCAGCCCTGGTGGTGAGGGAGCAGGGAGGTGACAGAATTCTTAATCAGTGTAATCACTGTCCTGTCATGGGCACAGCTTACTGTCTTCATTTTGTAAGTGAGTATACAGGATCAGGGAGGTAGAGCAACTACCCAGGGTTTCACAGCAAGTGATTTTCAGGCCTATGTGTTGACCTCTGTTCCCACCTCTTACTACCTTTGAGCCCAGAGTGCTGGGCTTGGGAGGGTTTGTTTCACCGAGGACACATAAAGGTATTCAACACACATTATGTAGCCAACATCCAGACGGCCTTGAAGGGAAGGAAGGAAGGCACAGGAGGGTGCCCCTCAGGCCAGGGGAGGTGTAAGCGTGAGTAGTGGGGAATGGGCAGAGGAAGTCTCCATCATCCTGTTCATTGGGAATTTGGTTCAGAATGTGGACTGGGTGTGTCCTGTTACTACCCAGCCTACTAGCTTAGCTGTTAACTCTGGAAGGTGGAGAGAGGGGCGTGTTGGCAGGAAAGGGGAACCGAAAGTTCCGGGTGATAGACATGTTCTGTGTTGTGGTTAGGATGCTGGTCAGGCGGGATTTACATTTGTCAAAATCCTCCAAACTGCACACTTAACATCTGTGTGTTTTTATCATATATAATTAAAACAAAAACAGTATAAATAGTGAAATTTAACTTATTTAAAGAAACTAATTTTTGTTCTTGTTTTTTTTCAGTATTCTAATACAAGTAACAGAAGAGAACATGTCAAAATTACAACTGACCCCCAGCCAGGCTTCCTACAGCGGCTGAGCGAGACCTCGGGTGGAATGTTTGTGGGGCTCATGACCTTCTTGCTCGCCTTCTACTTAATTTTTACCAATGAGGTAAAATGTTTAGGGTCCCATGGTGCAGAATGAGGATCCCTGTAGTGCCAGGGAGCAAAATTTATTTAATCCAAAGGCTGGATTTAATAATAAGGGCTTAGATTTTACAAAAGAGAGAAGGGGATACTGAATTAATCAGGTTTTTTTCTGTTGTGACCCCCCCTTACCCCCCACATACACACATAACTATGTGAAATAATGGGAAGTGAGGGGATAGGTTAACATACCTGAAATCCTGGGGGTAAACCAGCTTCAGGTATGGTTGGATCCAAGCATTCATGTTGGGTCGCCAGAAATCTCCATTTTTCTGTCTCTTGCCTGTGTTTCTCTGTTACGGATTTTTCTTTGGCAGACTTGTGTTGGTTAAGGAATTCCAGGATCATATAATCAGCTTAGCAACCACAGAGAACAAAGGAACCATATCCTTCTAAATGAATTTAGCAACAATTGGAAATCTCTTGAGTCCTGGCTTGGGTCTTGGTCCTCTCTCTCAACCAGTCCCTGTGGCCACTGAATACATGTACTGATTGGCTAGGCCTGGGTCACATGCTTTGGGCCAAAGTACTGATTGGCCCATATAAATCACATGGGCTGAGAGAAGGGGAGGGGAGGAGAAGACAGAGGAAAATGGGGGAAGGGGTACAGGGCAGACAGAACACCCGCTAGCTCCAATGTGGAGGCAGTGGGGTGGTGGGGAGAGGTCTGCCTGGGAAAGCAGGAATCTAGGGTTCAAGTCCCAACTCTGCCACTTGCTAGACTTCCGTTTTCTAACCATCAAATGGGAAGAGCAGTCTCAGTCCTCTCTGAGGCTCATGCGCCCTGAGACACTGTGTCAGGCTGTGCCTGACTTGTCGAAATTCTCACTACCCTTTGCTCACAGGGCCGTGCACTGAAGACGGCAACCTCCCTGGCAGAGGGGCTCTCACTCGTCGTGTCCCCCGACAGCATCCACACTGTGGCTCCCGAGAACGAGGGGAAGCTGGTGCACATGATTGGGGCCCTGCGGACGTCCAAGGTGCGTGTGGCGATGGTCGCTGACCCGTTGGAGGCTTGGGGCACGTCACTAGATTTTGTTTGGTTGAGGGTTTTGAAAACATGGACCTAGGAGATGGACACACAGGGCTGTGATTAGTGTCTGCACCACTCAGAAGCTGTGTGGATTCATCACTCCTAAATCTCAGGTCTTCTTGGGGAGAATAATTGTAACAAATTGGGGGGCCAGTTTTGAAGATTTGGTGGGATTAAGTAGCTGAAGTCCTGGCCTTGTGCCTGGCACGTGATGTGAACTTTACAAATAGGTACATTAATGATTATGGTTAGCATGTGGTCTAGTTCAAGGCTACAAAGGTACTCTGGTTATTCGACCCTTCTTGTCTGAGCACTAAATGCGGCACTGAGCACCAATGCCACCAAGCCACTGGGCCTTGCAGCTTGGGCCTTCGCTGGGAGGCCCATGTCACAGGCACTGGGTGTTCAGAACTTGGGACAAGCAGCTTCTCCTGGTTCTCCCACATGAGGCGACCACAGCGTTTCCATCCTGCCCCGTCCTCTGTACCTGTTTCCTTTCTAGTCCAGCTTCCCCCGAGCTGGGCGTTCTGGGCTGGTGTGCGTCTTGTTCTTTATTTACTTGGTTTTGGTTTGTTTGATTCTTTTTGAAGCTCTTGTCCGATCCAAACTATGGGGTTCACATTCCAGCTGTGAAGCTGCGGCGGCACGTGGAGATGTACCAGTGGGTGGAGACCGAGGAGTCCAGGTGAGGCGCCAGAGGGTGGCAGTCAGCTGGGGGTGGAGGAGGTGCAGATGTTAGGATAAAATGCAGGTAGCTTTCGTTTTGACATTTCTGCAATTAAAGTATAAAATCTTACTGTCAGAGAAATGTCCAGTTATCCTGAACTTATTAGTGAATGATCTTTTGTTTAAAGGGGGCAGAAATCTAATGCATAGTGGCCCAGAGAAGGGGGGATTGATTATCTCCTTTATCTGGAAAGTTCCACAGATGCCTGAGTTTAAGATATTACTGGTTCCACGCCACAATTTTTTCCCATGTGTTAATTCCATCTCCTCTCCCATAAGGGGACAGAAGTGGCTTCCAGATTTACATTCTGTCAGTTCTAACAAGTCTCAGGGGAGGCTCTTATTGGCCAGGGTTGGGTCAACCCCACCTGAGCCACATGGACTATGAGTTGAGGGGTGGGGAGGTGGCTGGGCAGCCAGGGCAGCTCAGCCTGGAGGAGGGCCGCTGCCGAAAGCCCCCACGGGGCTGTCCTGGGGCAGAGGGCACAGCCAGATCCATGAGCCCAGGGTGTGGGCCGAGACCCTTTGTGTAAGCAGGTGGAGGCAGATTTCAGCTCTAGATGAGAAAGCACTTTCTCCAGTCAGGGTCTTGGAGGGCTGGAGCAGGCTGTCTGCCAGGGAGTGAGCATCGTGTCTCTGGGCTGGTGCAGACAAGGCCTGCGCCGTTTGGACAGTTTGACAGGGCAGCCCCGAGTTGCTTCCAGCTGGACACGCTTTGAGATGGGAATGCCTCGAGTGATGGGCTGACTCTGGGCTGCTGTGCTTTCCCTGCAGGGAGTATACTGAGGATGGGCAGGTGAAAACAGAGCGGAGGTACTCCTACAGTGAGTATGGGCCCCCATCCTCAAGGGCCACGCCCCAGGCCCATGGGCACATGCTGGGCACATCCTTGCAGTGGGGAAGTCACAGAACCAGGCGTTGGGTCCCTGAGCGCTGGTCACAGAACCCTGCTCTCTCGTCCCTCCAGCGAGGCTCCAGGAGCTTCCCCTCATCCATGAAGCGGTCGTGGGCTTAGATAAGAGGACAAGGAGCTGGTCGGCCTTGAACATGTGACCACTCCTGCCACAGTTGCTGAGTTGTTCCCTTTTCCCACAACAGACCCTGAATGGAAGTCAGAAATCATCAACAGCAGAAACTTCGACCGAGAGATTGGCCACAAAAACCCTAGGTGAGGGCTGGGCCCTGGGCCTGAGTGTAGCCTCAGCTTTCTCATCTGAGTAATGGGGTTGAGCTACTTCTGCTTCATGAGTTGATTAGAGCATTGGATGTGTGGGCCACACTGTGGCCCGTGATGACCATGCTCTTTCTGGCACAAGTCTGGACACAGGGTAGGCAGCTCCTGTGTTGGGTGCTGGGAATACAGAGGCAAGATCCACACTACCCTCAAACAAGTCATGAATATAAGGCCTGGACCGAGTGCCTGAAGGGGTTTGCATGTACATTACAGCACCAGGGAAGCATTTGGCAGAAGTTTGCTGTGGGGGCAGGAGGACAATCAGGAAGGGCTTTCAGCAGGCGGCGGCATTTGATCTGGGCCTTTGTAGCAGCTGGGCAGAGAGGCTCGCTCAGGGGCATGGGGCTGGAGCAGGCCTAATGCTGAAGCACGCCTGGAGGGCGGGCTGCGTGCAGCCCCAGGGCAGGCTGTGCTGAAGGGCCTCGAGTGTACAGGGGGCACTACCTGGGGCCGGGAAGGGTCAGTGAGGGCTCGAGGTCCACGGAACGTCCATCCGATGGCTGGTGGTGGGTGAGACAGGCTGGTAGGGGTCCAGGCAGGAGGGTGTGAAGCTCTAGGGACAGGAGACAGAATGAGGGTGCACCATCCAGGGAAGAGGGACTCGAGCATCCAGGGAAAGGAGTTGCTGGTAAAGACAAGATATCTGCAGTGCCTGGGCTGGTCTGGACTTGCAGCATCCCCCTGGGCAGGGACCCTGCCAAGCCCAACCCTGAGGAACCCACACGGCTCCCACCTGGGGCCTCGCCGCACTGACTGCTCCCTCTCACCCACAGCGCGATGGCAGTGGAGTCATTCACAGCAACAGCTCCCTTTGTCCAGATTGGCAGGTTTTTCCTCTCGGCAGGTAAGTCTCTGGCCCGTTCGGGTGAGCCATTGCCAACCCAGAGGCTTTGTGCTTCCATTTGGCCACCTCCCAGGAGCCGCTGTTTCTCGTACTCAGCCCTTAGTGGGTAAGGGGGCCCCGCTGCCCTGGGAGTGGGATCAGCCAGCAGCTTTCCAAGGATCATGTTTTGGGCTGGGGCCAGAGGAAAGGCAAATCTGTAGGAGGCGGGGGCTTGTGTAGAACACTCCCACCCTGGGGAGATTTCTCTGACACCTGGATTATTCCAGAGAGTGACTGCCAGTCACTGTTGGGGTGCCGGTTCCTGTCTGACCAGACAGAGCCAAGGGCCCTTCCTTAAGCACCCCTTGAGTGAGCTGTAGAGACAAGGCTTCCCTGGGGGCTCCACCGCCGAGCCCCATGTGGCATCTAGGCTGTGCCAGGTAGTAGGTGGTTCATTGTAACCCCCACCCCCCAAATTATTTCAAAGTCAAGGGAAAAAGCAGTATCACCAGCCATAGGACCTCCTAGGGCTCTGTCCCTGAACTTAACCCAGAAAGGTGGGAGAGAAGATACTGAGGGCCCAAGGAGCCCAGGTGAGGGAGTAGAGGCTGGCAATTGGAGCTTGGCCAGTCTGCCGCCTGCTCTGTTGCTCAGCGAGTGCCTGCTGTGCCAGCCAGCCCTGGCCTCAGCTGGTCTCCATGCAGCTGAGAGCCAGGCTTGCACACAGATAAGCAGGCCCAAGGTAGAATGGGTACAGGGCCGAGACCATTCCCAGAGCTGTGGTCTCCGTTCCCTGCCTGGATGGAGACGGGACAGGGAAGGCTTCCTGGAGGCGGTGGAGACTGCAGTGGGGCTGGCACGGGAGCAGCAGAGGAGGAGATGGAGCTGTGGAACCCACTCTGTGTGTGGCGCGTGTGCGAAGGCCCCGAGGGGGTTGAGCCAGGAGGGAGCAGGTTGGTGAGGGTGTGGTGGGAAGGATGCCAGGCTGAGGGGTGTCTCAAACTGCACACCTTGTCTCTGGCCACCCTGTTCCTCTTAGGCCTCATTGACAAGGTCGACAACTTTAAGCCGCTGAGCCTATCCAAGCTGGAGGACCCGCATGTGGACATCATTCGCCGGGGAGACTATTTCTACCACAGTGAAAACCCCAAATATCCGGAGGTGCAGAGGGCCTTGGGCAGTTTGGAGAGCAGAGATCAGGCCCCATCCCCCAGTAATACATAGCGGTCAAGTTCTGGCTTAAGACTCTGATTTGGTTCAGTGGAGCCCACAGCTGCACTTGGCCGAGTGAAATTGGAGGGGGGAACATTCTAGGTGATGAACCACCTGGGTAAAGCTGTAGAGTCGGGAAAAGGGGGTGAATGTAGGGGGTCGACAGTGCCATGGACCCAGGCACAGGCTGGCTGCTCCTGGCCTCACCCACCCCCTTCTCTTCCACCCCCAGGTCGGAGACCTGCGCGTTTCCTTTTCCTATGCGGGGCTGAGCAGTGATGACCCTGACCTGGGCCCGGCCCATGTGGTATGTAGCCTCTGCGGCGCAGACTAAGGCAGGGCTTCCTGCTCTTGCTGGGCACGAACACAGGATGGTGTTGCGAATGTTGCTTTGGACCCTCCCTCTGGGAGCCGTGTTCATGTGCTTGTACTCACCCAGTTAGGCGCGCCCTTGAGCAGTCTGAGAGGTCTGTCCCCTGAAGCCATCCGTGGGTATCAGTTGACCCCAGGTGAAGAATTGTAGTTCTGGGGGACCTCATAATGATGCGTAATGAGAGTTCTCCCGATCACAGGTCGCTCCTCCTTCACTAGCCCCCAGTTTTTGCTCTACATGCTTGCTGTCACATTTCCGACCCTGTCGCGTATGTTCCACCCCCAGCCCAGACCCTGCTCCTGCCCAGGGGCCTTTGTGGGGCTCCACGTGGAGCGACTCTGGGAGCTCCAAGCAGCTCCAGCACCCCAGGCTGACGTGTGGAGTGAGAGGCTCAGGGACGGCTTGGGGCTCACTCGCTTCCGTATCAGACACAGTGTCGAGGGGTGCAGGGCCTGGGCTGGCTGGTCACCCCCTCAGTTCTAACGCTGAATTCTCTGACCAGGTCACGGTGATTGCCCGGCAGCGGGGTGACCAGCTAGTCCCATATTCCACCAAGTCTGGGGACACCTTGCTTCTCCTGCACCACGGGGACTTCTCACCAGAGGTGAGCGGCCAACTTCTGTGATGGAGGGACTGGTGTCTCTCTCCCTGGCACTTCATTCCTGTGGTTATTTAATAAGCACCGACGACTAGTGTCCGACCCAGTGCTAGGAGGCAAGGAGCAAAAGGAGTAAGCATCTCCCTGTGTGCCAGGCTGTGCTGGGCGCAGCAGTGGGCAGAAGGCTTCCAGTCTTGTGGGGGAGAGACACTCAGGAGTAAAACAAGTAAGGGCGCCTTGCGCTGGCTGTCATGAAGGAGAGAGGATGGTTTGGGATGAACAGGCATGACAATAGGACATCTGCTCTGACGGTGGGAAGGAAGGCCTCTCTGAGTGATGTTTCTGCTAAGTGCCAAGCGAAGAGAAGGTGTCGATGCTGGAAGTAGTCCAGGCAGGTCAGAGTTTGCCTTGGTGGGGCATTAGGAGCGCCCGTGTGGCCACTGCCCAGGGAGAGGGGTCAGGGGAGCAAGGCTGCAGAGCGGACAGGGGCCCCTCAGCATTTGGGGGGCAGTGAAGGGATTTGAGCAGAGTCCAAGGACTGGATGAGGGTGGCACAAGGGAGGGTCACACGTCACCTGAGTTCCAAGGAGACGGGGTTTAAAGCTGTACTGATTATGATTAGATCCATTGCATGCCTAAAGTTAGCCACTTTCTCTAGGAAGGAAATCAGTCCTTTACAGAAAGACATGGCTTTTACACTGTTGATGAACACAGTGTACCACTCGTACATTCTGTGCTTTGAATAGGATTGCTGGGCCTTGCATCCAGAAGGGTTTGAATGGGTAAGGGCAGCAGGCAGGTGTCAGGGCTTAGCTGGGACCCTTTTGACCCTATTCTTAAGCCCTAAGCTGTCATCCCTCTCACTTTAGCCCCAGGCCCCGGCGAGTTGCATGGGCCCAGCCCTCTCTAGCCAGGACCAGAGTGTGGCTGGGCTGAAGCCCAGGAGCCGGATTGCCAATCTCAGGGTGGGGCTGCCACCTCCCAGCCTGGCAGGGCATGAGTCACCCTTTCCTCCAGCAGCTGTCAGGGCCACCTGGGGCATTTCTGAAATTAGGAGGCCCTGTCCAGGCCTTTCCCTCTGTCCCAGAGCTCCAGCCGGGTCCCCAGGCTTCCATCCTCTTGCAGGTAGAGGCCCAGGTCTCAGAGCTCTCCCCCTACAGAGGCACGGTGGTGCTCACGGCTCAGGCCACTCCCCCTTAGGGAAGGCTGTGACGGAGCAGATGGGTGGAGCTTCCTGATCACCCTGCGCCTCCAGCACAGGCTCTGGGGTCTCTGCCGAGTGAGGAGAGAAGGCTCAGAGCCATGGAGGCGGCCCCGGGCCCTGCAAAAGCCGGGCCCAACCCTGCGAGTTGGGAGGTCCAGATTTGAGTCCCGGGGACAGGAGAGTGCAGTGTGGACAAGCAGGGGCACTGGAGACAGGCCCCGATCAAGCTCTGCTCTGCCTTCTGCTGGCTGTGGCACCTGGAGCCTGACCCCCTCTGTGAAGTGGAGATTTAAAAGGAGATGATTATTGTAATTATCCCTACCTTATGTGGTTGTTGTAAAGATTATCCATTCAGTGTGTTTTTACTCAGCACCAGGAACATAGGGACAGAACAGACGTGACCCCTGTCCTCAGGCTTGCAGCTTGGTTAACTTTCGGGTGAGACCCTGGGTGTGTTACTTGTCCCCTCAGAGCCTCAGTTTCCTCATCTGTAAAGTGAAGTGTGCCTACCTCGTCAAGCTTTTTTGCGGATTGAATAATGTAAAGCACCCAGGACAGTGACTGATAAATAGTAGGCCATGAATGTTAGCTCTCATGCTGTTACCACAGATGACGATAAGGTAGGCTCTCTGAGGAGAGGTCCTTTAAGCCCGCGCTGGCAGACCGTGCAGGAGCTGGCCAGGCATGGCTGCAGGCAGGCGTGCTCTCAGCACAGCGGCGAAGGCCCCGAGGCAGGACGACGCTTGGCTTGGTCTCCGAAAGGCAGCCATGGGGCTGGGGCACAGGCTGCGGCATGGAGGAGGTGGTGGCAGTGGCAGCAGCAGGGAGGCCGGTGGGGAGGAGGTTGCTGCGGAGGTCCTGGTGAGGGAGTGTGATGGTGAGAGAGGGTTTGAGGCAGTGGGGACAGCTGTTGACAGGACTTGCTGATGACCTGCATGGGAGGTGGTGAGGGCAGGAACAAGGCAAGTGTGCCACCCAGATTTCGGCTTGTGCAGGTGGGTGGGTGCTACCATTTGCTGAGATGCAGGTGATATGGAAGAACAGGTTGGGGTGGAAGCGCCAGTGTCGGCCAGTGTTGGATGTGGCAGGACATGGAGATGTCACACAGGCGGTGGGTGGGGCACAGCGGGGAGGACCTGGGAGGTGCCACGGCGGCAGCCTAAGAGAGGCGCAGATGTGTGGGTGGATTTCCTGGTGAGAGAGTGTAGGCTGAGGCAGCTGGAGAATTTCAGCATGTAGGGGACGGTAAGAGGGAAGGAGTAGCCCGGGAGACTGAGAAGGACAACCTGAGAAGCAGGAGGGAAACCAGGACGGGGTTGTCCCACTCTCCTGGGAGAGAGACGCCACGAGCAGCGTCCCAGGTTAAGTCGGGTACCATACACGGAGTGGTTTCCGTAGCACCTGGCAGGCACAAACGTCCCAGTCACGGATGTTGGCAAATGACCCCAGAAAGGTACTGCTGTGGTGTCAGGGAGAGTCAAGTTCCTTCAAGATGGGCTAAAGACTTTTTTTTAAATCCTCACCTGAGGACATTTTTTCATTGCTTTTAGAGAGGGAAAGGGGGAGAGAGTGAGAGAGAAACATCGACTGGTTTGCCTTCGCACATGTGCCCCAACCCAGGATCAAACCCACAACCAGGGTATGTGCCCTGACCGGGAGTTGAACCCACAACTTTTCTGTTTATGGGAGATGCTCCAACCAACTGAGCCACACCAGCCAGGACAAGATGTTGGGCTAAGGGCTCTTGAAGGAGGTGGGCTGTGATCTGAGGAGGGCCCATGCCTTCCACAAAGATCCGTATGTACACCCTGCCCTCCTGTACCAGGCTGGGGAGGTGCATACACCCGCGTGGGAGGTGTGCCCTTGTCTCCCTCTGGTCCGTTCAGAAATGGCCAGGGTCTGCTGCAGGGGCGTGGCCCCCTCAGCCACCTGGCCTGCCAGCTGGGCAGGCCGGCGGGCGACCCCCTCAGACAGGAGGTGTAACACCACATTACCCCTTGTCCTGCAGGAGGTGTTTCTGAGAGAACAGAAGAGCAATTCCATGAAGACGTGGGGCCTGCGGGCTGCCGGCTGGATGGCCATGTTCACGGGTATCAGCCTCATGACTCGGATCCTCTACACCCTGGGTAGGTGGGAAGGGACGGGCGGGGAGCCTTGCCCGCCCTCTGAATGCCCCAGCTTCCTCCAGGCTTCTCACACCGTCCTCTGTCAGCCTTTCTCCCCAGTGGTGTGCGCCCTGGGGCCCGAACTGGGCCTTGGGTCCATGTCTGAGTCCCCACTCCATAGCCTTGAGATGGCTGAGCAGAGAAAGGCAGGCAGGGGAGACGGGATGTCTCAGGGGTGAGGGCAGAGTGGATGCCCATCCTGGGAAGCTGGCCTACTGGGGATCTGGCTCCGCTTCGTCCACTCCTTTGCTCATTCCTTCTTCCCTTCGTCCCACGGCTGAGTAGCCATGGTGAGGAGGCTGGCCAGCCTTTGCAGTGGGCCTGAAATCTGATGTCAGAGCGCTCTGAACCCTTAAGCTGTCCTTCGTCCTGTCTCAGCTTCAGTTACTTCACACCTGATTTGTAGTTTTATGAAATGTTTGGCAAATAGGAATCACTAAAAAATTGTTATACTTCACTCCCCACCCGAAAAACCGGGCTAGATTTGGGCTAGCCAGCAATTGTGGGACCCAAGGGAGAGTTTGCTGGGCTGCTCCCCTGGTCCACGGTTGGCACCAGTGAGCCCCGCAGTTGCCTAAGCGCCCTGGGCTGGTTCAGGACTGAGCGTCCGGGCTGATTGAGTAAGCGATGGGTCAGACTGTTGCAACAAGAGGTTGGGGCTTCAGAGGACTTTCCATCTGAGCCTTTACCCCAGTGTGTCTCTGCCCAGTCGGTGATTCTGTCAGCCTTCTCTGGGCCTCATCAAACCTCTCTCCCACTTACCCATGCCAGCTGGGGAGAGGTCTGGGCACACATATCTCAGACTCTCAGAGCTGGGGGGGGCCTGCCCGCCTCATTTTACGGATGGGAGAACTGAGGTGCAGGGAGGGGAAGGACACTTCCCCAAGGTTTTCTTTGGACAGCTGAAGTGTACTCGGGAAGGCCAGCTGCATCTTGGGCGCCATTCAGGAGATCCGAGTTTGAACAGAAGACTCCATTCTTCTCCTCTGTGCTGAGCCCATCGCGGTTGTGTGATCTGGACGGGCTGTCTCCCCTCTTGGGGAGTCCGCATTACTAAGATGAGGAGGTTGGAGTCTATCTCAGATGGCTCTTCTCTGATTCTCCCCTGTCTGGAATGCTGACATTGCAGACTCAGAACAGACTTCAGAGTGGGGTCTGAGTCTCCATGGAGACACCCGAAGTGCAGGTGGAGTGATTCGGGAACTGCGGTGAAAGCACCCGTTCACCAAGAACTTACCACTTGCCCGGGGTGTGCCAGGCGTCGTTCTGAGCCCTGCAGACCACAGTGAGGAGGACGGACAAGGCCCTCAAACGATGGCTTAGAGCTCTGGGCTTCGACAGTCCTGAGTTTAAATTCTGGCTCTAGTGCTTTCTGGCTGTAGGACTTTGGGTGTGTTGAACTCTCTGGGCCTTAGTGACCTTGTGGGTAAAATGAGGTAAAGAATAGCATTGGCCTTATAGAACGGGCCCGAGGGTTTGAGGCGGTACACACAGTGCCTGACACCTGGCCACCGCTCAAAAACATGAACTCCGCTCAGTGTGAGGGCAGTGGGGTGCTTGCTCCCTGAGTAGACAGAGGTGAGCTACAAAGTGGTCTGTAGGGCGCTGGAGCCACAGCAGGGCACTGGGGCTTGCTTTGCCAACCCAGTGGCACCAGCCCACTGGGGCCTCCTGGGAACTGAGCGAAGATTCCCCAGTGGACAGCAGCCATGGGATGCCATCGTGGAGGTGAGACAGGTCAGAGACAGCGATGGATCCAGCTGGGTCTTAGATTTCATCATGTGGGGCCAGTAGCCTGTGAGATGCTCGAGGTGGAGGCGGCTGAAGCTAATTTGTTTCCCTGTGTCCCTGCACAGAGCTGGCACGTAGATAATTGGTAAGGATCTGCTGCCTGGATGAACAAACACCTCCAGGAATGGCTGAGGGGCCTGAATAGGCATCTGTAGAATGGTCTGTCCCGCCTCCTGTGTTGGTAAAAGCAAATGGCATTTGCTGCTGCTGCAGTCAAATGTCTTTACATTGTCCTCAGTCTGGTTTCGCCGTACAGTTCAGTATTTGCCAAGCGCTTGCCTGCGAGGGCGACTTTGCTCTCAAGTCCCCCTGCCCGCCACGGATGAAAGTAAACACTGCTGAGATATGATCTGCTTGGGGAGGAGAGGTGGCCAGTCTCTCAGAGGAAAAAGGCTTGGAGCCCCTTCCTCCAGGGGTTTTTTGGGTTGTAATACACAGGAATACAGGGCAGCAAGGGTCAAACAGTAGATAACATTTCAAAGAAATCTGAGGGCTTAGTCTGAGTCAGAACCTGTCAGGAAGGGGGTTTGCAGAAACTTTGGGAGACATACTCATTTCCTGCTTGGACCCTTAACATAAATGAAAGTACTCTTAGCAAATCAGGCTTCACAGTATTTTTAGGAATTCTTTCTTATGCCAGGTTTCTCCCCACAGATACCACTCAAGCAAGGCAAGGAGCTGCACTCCCTCCCCATCAGGTTTTCAGGCTCAAGTGGATTAGAGCCAGGAAGCACTTCTCCCAGAGGACATGGGGACTTGGGCTATGTCCCATAGCCACTGGGCAAGGGTCTATTGCGCCCTCTTTGTTGCAGCCCCCCAGGTCCTTCCATGATGGCCTCCCAAGTGATCATGTCTGGCTTAGGTTGCCCCTCTCTCTGTGAGGAGTCTTACCCGTCATTGACTTCCGACCATGCTTTGGGGGCGGGGAGAGGAAACTGAGGCAGCATCTGCTACCAGAGACCAGCTTTTGTCTCCTGTGGCTCGCATTCCGGAGGTCACTCGCTCATCCTTAGCCAGGGAGGGTAGTTACAATTCCTGAAACCAGGCAGAGCAGTCCCCAACACTTGCCTCCTCCCTGGAGCGGTGCAGGGCCACACAGCTTGGGAGTGCGCGCTCCCCTTGTGGATCCTCGGCCCTTCACAGCAGGGTATTTTTGCCTTCCACCACTGACCTTCTTTCTGTCCTCACCTGGCAGCAAGGGCCCACCCTCGTCTAGAGAGGGGAACTGTCTGGTGACTTGAGACACAGAGCGTGGTGTCCTCGGAAGCCTCACTGCCTTTTTCTTTCCCACAGTGGACTGGTTTCCTGTCTTCCGCGACCTGGTCAACATTGGCCTGAAGGCGTTTGCCTTCTGCATGGCCACCTCGCTGACACTGCTGACTGTGGCTGCTGGCTGGCTCTTCTACCGGCCTCTGTGGGCTCTCTTCCTTGGCTGTCTGGCCCTGGTGCCCATCATCGTTGCTCGGACACGGGTGCCAGCCAAAAAGCTTGAGTGAAACAGGACCTGGCACCCACCCAACATCCACGTGAGCTTCAGGATCTGGCGTACCCCCCACTTCCCTGACCCTGCTGCACACCAGCGCACGAGTGCACATGGGTTGTGGATTCTGCACCTGCTCTGCTCTTCAAGGAGCCAGCCTTGGTGGCGTGGCCGCATGTCGGGTTTGGTGTTCGTCTGCTAACGTCTCTTCACCCCCTTTCTTACCAGTAAGCAGCCTCGATGGGCAGAAGGCAGCTCCTCTCTGGCAGCGTGACAAGTGTTCCGCTTGTTTCCTCCCCTTCTCTGGGGACTGTGTGTGGTTGGTTCTCCTGCTTCATTTAGCTGATGTCTGCAGATGTCAAGGCGACACAGACCTGCTGCCTTACCCCTTACTGCCTCCCACCCTCGAAGATGAGTGCCAGGGCTCTGCCACAGCCACTAGCCACACCCTGGATGCTACAGGCCACCTGCATCAGCTGTCTCTGGTCAGTACTGGATTGCCAGGAGACTAAGCCCATATCCTCCAAAGCCAATGTGTGGATAGAACTTGATTTGGTTTTTCAAACAGAAAACCTACTGGAGATGTGGAAGAAATTGGACATTTGTTGGCTTTACACTCCTTTTATGGTTTGGCAGAATCTTTTTAGTGTATGGGATCTCCAAAGGCCCTGAGTTTTCATGGCTTCACTTCATGTGGGCTTTAGGGTTGCTTTGTCTACCCTAAGAGGGAGTTGTTTGAAATAAGATTTGAAAAGCAAAACAGAAAACCTGAATGATGAACATTTCAGACTTACAGAAAAAGACACCCTTTAACTTGTTAGCTGAAGTTAATTCAGATCACAGAAAAGTGTTAAATGGGGATGTGACTTACACATGGTTTAAAAACAAAAAAAACGTTACCATTGTCAGTGTTCTGAGTCGCTGGGAAGCTTTAAGATGCTTTTGAAACATGCGTTAGCAAAAGGATTTTTTTCCTCTGGGAGGGGGTGGGGAATCTCTGTTAGAGTAAAGCGTTTCCTTTCACCCTCTGGCCTCAGACACTACCTATGTACTTGAAGATAGTTTTGAGTTTTTAGTCAACCATCAAAGGAAAAAGCTGGGGAAAGGTTGGAAGCTTCATTATCCTACACTCCTTCCGAGTGACCCCTCAAAATCAACACTTAGCAGCCTCAGGCTTGCTGTGGATTTGAATGTGCTTGTCTGGCCCTGTCCCTTCATCGTGAGAGCACTTTCTGACATTAGCAGCCAGGCCTCCAGGGGCTGCTTCTGAGATTCATTTTATCTGTCGGTCAAAACCTACCCATACTTAATTCACGCATTTCCTAAGTTCCCCAATTACTCTCACATCCTTTGGAAGATTAAGTTGTAACCTTGATGTCCTGAAAGAGTCTTTGTATTCTCTTTTATCTTTTCACTACTTGGAAATTGTTCTGCCTCGCTGGGAGTGGTTGCTTTAGGAAGTAAGTACTTGGTAGTTGAACAGGGGTCAGAACTTTAGGAAATAGCGACCTAATAATTTCTCCTGTTGTCCTGGTGTATCTGGGCCACAGAGATGCTTTGTGGCAAAGACAGCAGGGCCCAGAGATGATTTCTGTGTTTAAGGACCGGAACAGGTCACTGCTGTTCGCCATGGGCTGTTCCAGTTCATCCCGAGTCCTCACAGAATGCGTTTGGAAAACAGTGTGACAGGACGACGGCTGCGTACAAAGCCCTGGGATTTGGTCTTTGAGATTCTTCCCAGCACAGACTCCAAATTACTGCCAATTTCAAGTGTTCTTTAGGAGCAAAATGATGTTAATATTTGACACATTTGAAAAATTGTGCAATTTGTATTACCTTTGTATTTTTGATAGGAAATCAAAATAAATTTCTAAATTTCTTTTACAGGACCTCGTCATTATCCCTTTTGGTTTCGTATTCTTTCTGAAATTTCTATCATAAAAGAATTGAGCCGTAAAATTTAGTAAAAGCTGTATGAATTTTAGATTCAGTTGTAAGTTGTTTTTAGTGGTTAAAATAGGTTTTTTTAAAAAAAGGGCAACTCTGTATTTCTAGCATTTAGAAGTCTTACATACCAAAGTTGACTGTTTTGGATGGAGTTAAAGTGAATGACTCATACTTCACCCATCCTCAGAATGTGCTATAAGAAAGACAGGGGATGGAATCACCGTCCAATGCGGTGCACACGGCATCCTTGGCGTTGGGTTGGCACAGACCTGAATTCCAACCCCAAGTCCCCCACCCATGGGCTGTGTGACGTTGGGAAGATCAGTGCTCTCTCGAGCCAGTTTCCTCACCTGTAAAATGAGGACAGTACCATTCTCATACCAGTCTGCTATGAGGACTAACTGGGAGAAAGCCCACGAAACGCCAAACACATCTGACACTTTCATTCCTCTTGCCTCCTGTTCTGCAGCAGTTGACTGCTGCTAATCATCCACTCAGAAGCTAGCAATTTGTATAGTTGGTTTTTTTACTACAAGATTTGAAGCAGGTGATAACTGTCCAAAACCTATTCTTGTATTTCTCAAAACTGAATGTTTTATATAACTTCCACAATACCCCATAGGAGTTGACATCTGCCTGAAAAACAAAGTTACTTCTGCAGAGACAGAGTGATGCTCGACTAAACTCCCAGAAAACAAGTCGCTTATTTCTGGGAGAAGGGCTACGGTGCAGGAAGAGTGAGGCGCTGCAGTTTCCGTGGCAACCTGTTTGTTTCTCAACAAGAGCCTCCAGCCAGGCTTGTGTGCATGAGTCACACCCCAAGTGTTTTGTTTCCCTGGGATAAAGCTGATTCATAATGGCTCCTGTCGATGATGAAATAGTACCTCCTTGCTTAAACATAGGAAAAAAAACCCCTGTGTGTGTGGTAAGTTCCCAGCCTATGTGAAAACAAAGTCTTATCTTTAATGTGGCCTCAACGTGTGTACAAACCACTGTCACTGTGTGTTCTTCGCTGACAAAATCTGAAAGAAAATGTACAGCTGAGCCTTATTAGATAAATGCTTTATTTTTTCTCAAAATGTTATTTCTCCTGAATATCTACAGTGCATAGACCTTTAGGAAATTTATCCAGTACTGAACAGATTCTGTTTTAACAATGATCCACTTTTACTAGTATTTACTTCTGAGAGCTTTGCCTTTTTCATCTTCCTGATTTGGGTTCTTAATTCTAGTCTTCTGTCATCATGAAATGTGGCTTTAAAAAGTAGGTCCCAACAACCCACAATCTGCGATGACCTGTGCTCGCCACACTATGAGGGGACAGCATTCAGCAGCATTAGTACCCCTGACGGAGGGAAAGCGAGCGGCCTGCAGAGAGAGGGTCTGCAAGACAGGCAAGAGCACAAACGTGTGACAGGTGACGAGTCTGCCTGGAAAGGCCTGGTGCATTCCTCATGGGCCATGGTCTGAAAATTTCCCGGTGGTTTCTGTAAAAAAAAACCTCACTTCCCAAAATGGCAGAACCAAGTCTCGGTGCAGGAGGGTCTCTCCAGGGAGGGTTCTGTAGCTCAAGGCACAGGGTACAGGAGCAGAAAGCTCTGAAGGCCGGCCCTGTGCAGAGTGGTTATGACACGGTCCGGGCCCGGACCAGACCTGCAGCCCCACCTCAACCTGACCTTCTGTCCCTGGGATCCTTGTCTGCCCCACACGATGCCCGTTTGCCTTCTCAGCGGAGACACTGCCAGCCCAGGCCTGGGCATCCCCGGCAGCACGTGCGGGGCTGGTGGGGCACAGCCTATCACGAGGCGGCCACTCATCAGAGCCTCTCAAACGGGAACAGGTGGGAAGCCGCCGCCTTTTCCCTTCTGGCTTTCTTAGGGCACTTTGCCGTCTGCTCTTCCTTAGCCTCTCGGTTTTGGGGCCAGGAAGCAGCCAGGATCTTGGCCGTTTCTGCCTGAGAGCTGGTTCCTTCCTCTTCATCGGAAGAGAGTCCACCTTCCACTTTGGGGGCAACTGCTGCCTCACTCTGGAGAGGTGAGGACAGTGGAGGGAAAACACAGGCCACAGGTCAGCGACTAAGTAGATGTGAGGAAGCACCATCCTGAGACAGTAGCTCTCCCAGCAGTGGCCTGCCTGGAGGTGTGTGGCTCTGGCAGGACAAGGACACTGTGGGGCTGGGGGAGAACCAAGGCCTGTGCTCTCGGTAGGCTGGGGACTCACCCAAGCAGGTACTGCTAACTTATGGGCTGAGGGGATGCCACGATGTCTAGGCAGGAAACTGCCCTCCAGGAGTGTACAATCAGGTCCAGGAGATCACTGTGCCAGTGCTTTGCACGCATTACTTCATTTCTGAACACAAGTGACCAGTGCCCTGAAGATACTCCCCGGGCCTGGGCCGGCTGGGGCGGGGAGCTGGATGCAGAGGGTGAAGGAATAGTCAGGCGTGAAGCCAGGTGAAGGGGTCAGTGACGGGATGTGGGGGAGGAGCAGGACAAGCGTATTTTTTAAAAGCAAACAGGCACCATGGGGGATTGGAGAGGCGTGGTCACAGCTGCTTCCAGAGCACATTTCTGCTGTGTCTGACCCCATGCCGATCACACTGTGAAACACTCACACCTGTGTCCACAGGCTGGCCTGCCAGATGGCAGGCGCTGCGAGAGTATTTCTGGCCTCGGGGATGGTTGTAGGCACCGGCCGGGAACACCACAAGGCTAAGAGTGGTGGGTCAAACACAGAACTACAGGAACCCATCTCGTCCTGTAGGGTTAGCGCCACAGGAGGCACTCACTTGTGCAGACAGAGGCAGAAAAGGGGGTGTTGGGGCAGGGCTGGGGGCCAGAAGTGGCAGCTGAGGCTGACTCCAGGGGCACCTTTGCCAACAAGTAAGGACACAGGACCCGGGAGGCACAGGTCTGTGGCATTCAAAGATACAGCTGACGGATCTATGATGTATGTCCAGGCAGAACATGGGCCAGTGATTGCTGAGTCGCCCCCTCTCCACCCCAGGCTGTCCTCTTTACGAAGGACGCACACTGACCTTGTCCCCATAGCGAAGCTTCAGCCTCTCCCTGATGAGCAGCCCTTTAATCAGCAGCTTCCAGTGCCCAATGGCCCGCTTCTCTCTTTTCTGCAGCAGAAACAGGGTAAGCATGAAATGTTCAGTACTGCCATCTTCAGGAAAAATATCAAAGTGGAACCTGTGGACACACAAATCTATATCAAATATTTTATAGGTTTAAGAAAAGTTCAACTATACCAAGTCCAGGTTTAAAAAAAGTTCAACTATACCAAATCTCAAGTTTTAAAATTGGAGTGACTTGTAAGAGGCATGAAAGGCATCAAAGACAAAAGCCCCTTTGTAACTGTTTCTGACTCTGAAACTTGTAGGGAAAAGGTTCTCCACACCTGGACCACAGGCAGTTCCTTTTAACAGAGGCAGGTGTCAGCAGCGGGACTGGGATCCAGAGAGCTGACAAGTATAGCAGCGGGCAGACAGTGGTTTCTGAGGTGTAGGCGGGGCCATTTTATCCAGTGCTGGCCCCTGTGGGGCCTTCCGTGCGGTCAGGGAGCCAGAAAGAGCTTCAGAGAACACGACTCTCCTTTCACAGTCGCTGCCAGTGAGGCACCTGTCCACCCCAAGCACCCAGCCTGCTCACCTCCTTCTCCTTCTTTTCAATGAGTGCCTGCTCATTTTCCCAGGCGGCCAGGAGCACGTCTTTGTATTCCTCGCAGACTACATACCCGTCAGTTCTGTGGGGATGCAACACGGGTGGTCTTCGAGCTCGGTTTCTGCTCTGGCCTCTCTCCCTCCCGTTGCGGAAGGACAGTGGGCCGCTCCTAAGCTCTGAAGGATTGCCTGTGTCAGCTGGCCCACAGTCCTGGCCACAGCTGCTCAGGTACCGCTCATGCAGAAGGCAGGCCCATGGACACTGGCACTGCCTATGAACTGGGATGAGCCCCTCCCCACCCCCACCACATGCAGGTAGAGGTCACCAACCAATAATGCTGACCCCACAGGTCACCTGTGACCACCCCCAGAAAACAGTGTTTTAATCTAACATCATTAGATGCTGGCTTCACTGGTTTTTCTGCCTCTGGATGGAAGCCAGAGTAAAGGTGTCAAAAGTGCAAAGGTAAAGTGTTAAGGCTCATTTTCCAAGTTCAGAGTAAAACCTGGAAAATAAGATCCACTGGGCCTCAACTCCCACCAACCCCACATCAATTTCCCACCCCCTTCGCCTCCCCGCCCTCCTTCCAGCCTCCATGGAAGACGCCTCACGCACACAGGATAGGAGTAGCCCCTATGGAAATCGAAGCCAGTGATGGCCTGAGCACAGTCGATGCCTAGCTTACGAGCCACACGGTGCAGGTTGGGCAGATTCAGTTGGACGCAGCCAACAGGCATCATGCTGGGCAGGAAGAGGTACACGTTCCCAAATTCATTCCGGGGGACCTGCGGAGGGTAGCATGCCAGGTCTGGCAAGTTGCAGAATAAAGCAGCCTGGTCCTAACCCCACTGAGGGCTGCCCTTACCTTTCCATCCACAGCAACGGGTGGCTGGTACTCCTCTGTCTGCCACCTGCCAAACAGGCCCAGGTCATTTTGGTCCTGCAGCTGGGGCTCTGCGAGGCGGGCTCTCCGGGCCCGGTTGGAAGAGCCTTTCACCATCTACACCAGAGGGAACAGCCAGTTTACAACAAAGGCTACCACCTCCTGAGTGCTTACTGCACAGTGCGGCAGGTACTGTGCTCAGTGCTTTGCACCTGTTACAGAACAAACAGCAGATGAAACTGAGATGGGGGTGCACTTTATTCCCTTTATGAATGAATACTAGAGCTACTACCCCCAGCTACTGCCACTCAGTAGCTGACATCGACAGAATGCCCACTGTCCCAGGCTTGGTTTTCAGTCCTCTCTATGCATTTAATATTTTGAGATCACGGCTGATACTGA